TTATTTCTAACATATCATAAAAATGCCAAGACCAAACTTAACTGTTGGATTAGAAACTATCACTACCCTTCTTCACTATAAACTTCAGAAGAAGAATCGTAACATCCTGAAAATTTTAATATAAAACTTATATATAGATATACATATATATATATTTTAAATGTGGACCAAGATGAAATCGGTTTTTTAATTTATATTTTAATTGGGTCAAAAATTAGATTTTTATAGAGTGAGGTTTAGTACATCAATATTGGGCTCTTTGGGTAGTTAATATTTAATTATGTATAGTAGGCTTGATAAAAAATTAATTTAGATAAAAGGGAATCAAGTTATGGCCGATCAAAGAAAGTTATGATTAAATGAAATATTTTAAAGGAATTATTCTCTTTGGTTAAACAAGTGACGACAATTGAGATAAGGAAGGATTTTAAATCTTAGTTATACTTAATGTAAACTATATTGTTTAATTCCTAATGTTATTATACGTGGCCAAACCCAATTTCATTATATTTAGGCTTATCACCAATTTTTTTGATCAATTTAATCAGCATGCTAAAAGATTATTAATTTCTTTTTCACTAGGAGACTGCCTGCCTATTTATATCACTTGTCAACGCCAACTTCTTCTTTCATACCCATCAGCTTTAGTTAAAAATATAAATTTATACTTCTATTTAATTTATTATTTGAGTATTTAAATGAATTAAGAGTTTTAAATTTTCAACTTATATTTTCACATGATGTATAATTATGAAATAATATCAGTAACATCTCAAAATTTAAGTCAATAAAATTTACAGTATGATAGCAGAGCACAAGTCTACCATCCTGTAGACCTTTAAATAAAATATTTATGATAACTGATTTAGTTTTTAAAGAAAATAGGAAATCTCTATTTTCACTTATTGTTCGAGTTTTCTTGATTTGAGTATTCGCAAGGTTGAAGATCAAAACTGTCTAAAAAGAGCATGGAATTTAAACTGTCCACATCACAGACTCCCATTTTTACATTTTAAGTTTCTTTTTTAAGCTAAAAAAAATGTATAAAAGTACATAAACCATTCCTTATCAGATTGGTTGTTACCTTGAAATTTCCCTGTAGTTCACTTCTTTTACTTATTTTTTGGACTTTTATGGCTGAAGTACAATATCCTGAAAAAAGTTTTATGAACAATTACTTAATTTTAACTATGCAAATATGGAGTCTCACATAATGATAACCATTAACATGAAAGTTAAAATCGCACATAATTTTCTGTTGATTTGTGGAGAAATATTAAGTAATTTAACGATTTTGTCCTCCAATTTTAAGTCGGAGAAAGTCGATTGTAATTCTGAAGTTGATATTGATGATTTTGATCACGTAGGGAACCAAAGTCACATATTCAAATGGATTAAAGATCTAGTACAGCACTTTTAAAGGTTTAAGATCCATAACCATGTGAAAGGTTGGGTATATCATCCTCAATTTTCCATTTTGCGGGAGGGGGAATTTGGGATGAGCTCCCCAACTTCTCAAGTAATGTGAAAGTTACTCTACAATCTTCAAACATTAGGTTTTGATTTTCAACTTATGTAGTACTGGGAGATTGTGTCCTCATTTGGGAAATCAACGTTATTGTTTAAATTGTCGATTACTTTTGAGTAAATTAAAGTTGGATGCCAAAATGGTTATTCAAATTTTCTTCCAATTTTATTGTCTATAAAATAATTATTCTCAATCCACATATTTTGTTTAAAATAACTTGTAAATAAAAGTACAAAAACTAAAAAATTACCTTATCATTAAAAATTTACTTATAAGTGAAAAATTACTTATAAGATAAATATTCAATTTTGCGTCAAAATGCTTAGAAAGTAAAAAAATAATATTAATAAGATAAACTTCTCTTCAAAATATAAAATGTTACTTATAAGTAAAAAAATTTACTTATGTATCAACAAATATTTAGAAGTACAATATAAATATTTCACTTTTAAGTTAAGAATTAACTTACATATAAAAAATCACTTTTAGGTAAAATATCCCTTATGAATAAAAAATATATATATATAAATTGAAAATTTCATTAAGGGCATATATATATATATAAACTTTTAGAATCATTGGCTAATAAGTACTTTGAGACATAAACTGGATTGTTTTAAAAATCAACCAAAATTAGAAAGCAAAAGAAATCAGCAGTCTAAAAAGTGATGATTAGTATAAAACGTCCCTACCTTTTGATATTACTATGCAAGACATTTGTACCTTCCATTTTTCTAGCATTTGCACTATTATTTTCACCCTTCATTGTTAAAATCATCATTTTCATCTATTTTCTCAATTAAAAACTATGAAATGACGAACATACCCTCCAGGGCTAGTCCGGAGAAACTCTAAGGGGGTGTTCTCTTTGTGTTTCAGTTTTGTGTTTTGAGTTTTGAATTCATTTTGAGTTTTGTATTTTGAGTGTTTGTTTTGAAATTGTTGAAAATGCGTTCTTTTTGTTAGTTTCTCAAAACAAAAAAAATAATTTTTTTTTTTTAAATTTTGAGAATCACCACAACACCACCTCAAAACACCAAAAAAAAAAATTAATTAATTAATTTTTATTTTTTTTTTTGAAATTTTGAGAATCACCACACTATCTCCTCAAAAAAAAAAAATTTTGATTTTTAATTTTTTTTGAAATTTTGAAAATCACCACACCACTTCCTAAAAAAAAAAAAAAAAGAAGTGTTTCCCGCGTTTTCAATTTTTTCAAGTTTTACACTGAAAACGCCCAAAACGACAAAAAAGTCGTTTTGTGTTTTCTTCACAAATTTTTTTTCGTTTTCGAAAACGTTTTCGAAAATTCGTTTTCGAAAACGGGAAAGAGAACACGTTTTCACCGTTTTGAAAAATCGAAAACAGAAAACGACCCGAAAACGGTAAAGAGAACAGGGCCTAAGTGACTCATTATTATGAGGCCTTTAAATGTAAAAAAAATAAAAAATAAAAAATAAAAAATTACATGCGTAAAAACACATAAAAATTTATATATACAGTTTAAACAAAGACTTGGTACAATTCAAAAGATAAAATAGCGAATTCAAGTTATTTTCGATAAATCATATTATGGACATTATGGACCCATGAAAAAAATTATTTTGGATAAATCAAATTCAAATTATGACTTATTAAAAGTAAACAATTGAATGTGTAATATTGTTTTTTAAATTAAATGATATTACCATAATAATATTAGACTCGTTTGATAGCTTGTAATTAATTATGTATATTAAATTCGAGAAAAATTATATTTTGAATAAAATCGAACTAAGTTAGAATCGACCAAATAAATTATTGTTAAATAAATTTTTAATTAATCCATCTTTTAAATTTATACTAATTTAATTGGGCTTTTACCATGATTTTCATTTGGATGCCCCCATTAGATGTGAGGCCCTAAGCCATTGCCTAGTTGGTCTTGGCTTAGGACCTGCCTTGATACCCTCATATTTCAATAAAACAAAAAGAAAAGAAAAGAATAAAAACTAATAGCAACAATGATTCCAAATTTTCAAAAAATTACAAATAAGTCACCAATATATAATAAAAAAAAAAAATCACTTTACCTTCTTCCTCCTTTCTCCACCATTATCCACCTCCTCACATGTGATTACCCCTTAAAAAACCATGTAATCGATGTCCAAAACTCTCAAAAAGGCCCAAGCAGTCGCGAAAAAGAGAAAAAAAAATTCCTCCAAATAAAAATATAGATCAAAAGGGAAAAAAATAAAAATAAATGAAGCTTGATTTCGTAAAAAGAAAATTGCTTTTAGAGAATCCAAAAATTGTATTTTTGTTTTTTTCTTTCAAAACTCGATGTCTACTAATTATTGAGGCACTTTTATTTACTTTCTCTCTTTTCCTTTTTTTGTTTCTGAGTGCAAGTCTTGATTTTTCCTGTTTTAGTTTTGATTCTGTTGTGAGAATCGAAGTGGGTTTGTCTCAGCTGTTTGTTATTGATTGCGTTTTTTTTTTTTTTTTGGTTTGGAAAAAATTCCTTGTTTTTTTATTTTGGGGAAATTTTTTTGGATTGAAACCCCCCCCCCCCCCCCGGTTCCATTTGCTTATGGTGCTAGATTTGTGCTTCTGTACATCGATTTTAGAAATTGGATGCCTTCATGTGAAAATGAACCATCAAAAGATGATTTTTTTTGTCTTAAGTTCCGTAATTAAGCTAATTAACTATTCAAACTAGATAAAGAACGGCTTAATTTTGTGTCAAGTTTTGCTTATATTTGTGTGCCTCGTGATTTCTATTGAATTTTTCTTATCCTCATGTGCCTTGCGATGTCATCTATTTAGCAGAAAGGAGGAAGAAGATGAATTAATTTTTTTTTGTTTTTATATTTAATTACATATTTGTGACCCATTTGTAATTTTTTTAAAATTTGACACTATAGCTGCAATTAGTTTTCTATTTTTTTTTTCTTTTAGCAGCTGTTTAACGGCCTTTAAACTACTCAAATTTATTTTCTGCAGCAGTAAAATCTTCTTTTCAATGAATTCATGTAAGACAAAAAGAATTGTTTTTTAATGTTATGATATGTATCTTCCTATTTTACCCCTAGCATAAGGAATTTTCAATGACAAACTAAGGCAAAGAGGGAAATTAGTATTTTAAACGGGCAGAAGTTTGACTTTTGTTCAACCTGTCAGTTACCTTTTCAAATGTTAATTAATGATTTAACAGTGCTAAAAAATTTGCTGCATAAAATAAGGGATTTTCAATGGAGTCAAACGGATATAAGAGGTTATATTCGTCATTTCACGGCTTTTAATTGAGAAAATAGATGAAAATGATGATTTTTGCAATGAAAGGTGAAAATAAGGATGAAAATACAAAAAAAATAATAAAAAAATGAACGGTATGGGTTTTTTTTGCACGATAATATTGAAAAGTACTAACGTTTTGAGCTAATTACCTTTTAAAAAAGTCCCCGTAATGGGCACCCAAAACTCCGAAAGAGAATGCAAAAGATCAATGACTAAATAGAAGCTATCATATTAGTTCAGTACCCAAACAAGTTTTTTACCCATGGGAAAACCATGGAAACACACGTGAAATAGCACTTATCAGGTTTATTTATAATATTAGAACTTCATATTAGGACAAATACTTGTTTTATTCAATTCGGACGAACTTCAATTCCTTTGATGATAATAAGACTAGACTTCGGATTGCGTTCCTCCTTCTCAAAGAGTCGCATTTCTACTTGTCCTTTATCTTCCTCGCCAAGGGTGAAATCTCCAAGTTTAATCTCTTTCCACCCATAGTTTAGAGGTCGTGGAACCTGTCCAACGTTAGCTCCTGTTTTATTGACGAGGAATACATCTGTAGCTTGATGATCTATTCCTAGAGCTATGTCCTCAGCAAACCTAACTATTGCTTTGGCTCACTCTAGGCCCTTCGACCCTTCTTTGAGCTTGAACACAAGATACACATTATAACGTGTATTTTTAACCAAGTTTTTTTGCATCTATCCTCCCACCAATATCGAGCAAAGTCACATTTCGAAGCTCGACCACCATGGTGCTACACTATATGCAACCAACATATAAATTGCTCATCATTGTCTTCAATGAAATTTACAGATTGTTTATCATTGTATGAATAAGCATTTACATAAACCACCTCATCTATATTGTTAGAGATGGGATAACCTTATTTACTTCATTAGATAAAGGAAAAGTAATGATCAACATATTGAGAGAGAGAGAGAGAGAACTTTGTGCAGCCTGGAGGATGAGTCGATATCCACCCTTCTTTCTCTTTGTGAATAATAAGCTATTGTGCTGGTATCCACTTGCTCTTGCTCTGCACAAAATCCATCGTCAATTGTATTAACAAATGTCTCTATATTTTTTAATTCAATAGAAATAACTTTTTTAGTTTTAATTATAACCTACACGAATTAGATACAAACTTAAAAGTTCAAGAATTAAGTTACTTGTACAGACAGAAAGTTTGATGGATGTTGAGATGGCATGCACCTCAGCCCTTTATTTTGAATTAAAATTAATGCTAAGTGTACATCCTTTGGTTTAGATGTTCGTGTACGCTCCGTTGGAATTCAAAACGCGTTGGGCAATAACTGTGTTTTTGAACTATCCAACCATGTGTCACTACATGGCACAATGTCAAAAATGATGTTAAAAAATATATACATGTAGCATAATTGTTGTATTTATGAAGTTCAAACCAAGTGCTAAGGTGCATGGCACTGTCAAAAAGATCGTACAAGTAACAGAGCTCAAAGTTCAATACAAGAATGAATATATTATACATACCATTGTGCTTTGTACCAACACCTCTGCTTCTCTCTTATCTCTTTCACTCTATGAATCCCTCTTTATCATAATATCATGTATATACGAGGATATGGAAATGCATGTACCAATGGCGAATGTGTGAATATTATGCTTTATCCATGACTTGCTTTCCCTTGTCTCTCTCATCATAGGAATTAACTTTATGTCTAAAAGGATAAACAGGGATAAAGAAAGGCATGACTAGCTATTCTCATGTATCTCTCGTTATGGGAATCCACTTTCTATGCAAGGATAAATAGATATAAAGAAAGGCAAGACCTTCATTTTCCTTGTCCCTCTCGTTATGGGAATCCACCACTCATATAAGGATAAATAGGAATAACCGATATCAAATTATTCAAGCATTTCATGAGTGACTATTAGTGCTGTCAAGGATTCTCATCAAGAATCAACTTTTTGCATTTTTCATTTGGTATGATTAAAGAGAATCTAGAAAAGAATAATGTATGCTTTTTAAAAGAATAATGCTATCTAGCACCATAGTAAAATATTGGTCTAGGTAGATGAAAATATATAATAAGGACAATAATTAAGTGGTTACTATATTTTTTACATTTAATTAGATATAATTGGAACTAGTTGATGCTCCAACTTGACCGATTTTTGTCAACTCCTCGTAACAAAAATTACCAGTGCAACAAATTTTAATTGCATGAAATGTTTATAACCCTTGTTCGTTGCTAAATTTATGTTTCTATCTTTTTGAAATCTCATTTTTATTAGCAACCTTCCACAAATTACCCTTGTATATTTTGAATAAGCAAAAAACACAAAAACTACAAAATTATGAGAAATGTTTGTCCCTCGTTTATAAGCTCGCAAATAGAACTTTTTGGGGAAATCATCATTAACACAAAATATTCTAATTAATTATAAGTATGAGATGAAAATGTTAGCAACCAAAATGTGACAATGAATAAAGTTTAAAGATCTTTGATGCACTTAAAAGAGATGGATTAATTTATAAATATTTTCGTGACACCATTAAATGGAAACTGGCGATTGGCGAAGGGGTAAGTCAAGGTCAAGTTTCAACAATCAAGTTTACTATTATTTTAAGAAGAAAGGACACATTAAAAGATATTGCAAAAAATCACAGAATAAAAGGTATTTCGGCTACAAATCATGAGAAGCAATCAAACACTTCCGACTAGACCAATATAGTTGAGGACTATTTGAGTGATGGAGATGTCTTGATGTTTTGTGACGTGGAATCCAAACCTGAGGAGTGAATTTTGGACTTAGCTTGTATGTTCCATATGTGTCCCAACCGAGATTTGTTTGAAACATATGAAACGGTGATGTAAGGTATCATTACCATGTGTAACAATGAACTTTATCGAGCAGCTATATTGATAGAGTCAAATTGAAGTTGTTAGATGGAACATATAAAACACTTGATCACGTTCGACGTATTCCAAATTTAAAGAAGAAGTACTCTTGATTCGAAAAAGTACACATTCACTAGAGTAGGTGGAGTCTTGAAGGCCCAAAAGGGTTGTGTTATATTGGAGGGGCGGAGGAGGTCCCGGTTATACATCTTGTAAGGTAGTGCTGAATTGGTAAAAAAATCATCACCACATGTTTAATACCATGGTGGATATATAGTTTGGTACTGTATCTTTGAGAGTTGGCTCTGGGTCATTATTGAGGAACACTACTTGGTTAAGTTTGGAGGATATGCGTAACTCTGCTTTGCCACCATTATTTGCAGTGTCATCGTGTTCTACTACTAAGGAAGGGCTTAATGAGGATAGGTACGATGACGCTGACCTAGTTGCGTATGCTTTTTGAGGTTTTGGAGGTGTCGAGATTATCAAGGGGCATTCAATTAAAGCATTTAACTTGATTCTATTATAGGGTGTGCTTCTACACTGTTTGATAATTTTTGAATTTCTTGTGGGAATTTTGGGAACCCGATATTTCGGTTCTTGTATCATTTGTGGATATTGTGGAAGAGTAAGAGTAATTTTTCGTGTGAAGAAGTTTGGTTTAGGGATGGCAATCGGGCTCGCCGGCTCGAGCCGCCCGTGGCTCGGCTCGGGGCTCGGTAGACACGAGCCTAGGCTCGGGCTGAGCCCCATTTTGGGGGCACGGGCTTTGCTCGAGCCGGCCCGTGAGCTTTTTAATATAAAAAAAAAAATTAAAATGAAGGCTGAAAAGGCAGCAGTGCCTTTAAAAGGCAGCAGTTTTGCTGCCCTTAAAAGGTAGCGAATCTGCTACCTTAAAAGGTAGCAGATTCAAAGACTGGAAAATTATTTAAAAAAAAAAAAAGGAAAAAAAGTGAAAAAAACGAGCCTGCCCGGCTTGGCCCGTAAAAAGTCCGAGCAAAAGCTCGGGCCGAGCCTATTTTTTTTTGGCCGAGCAACTCGAGCCCGCAAAAAAGCTCGACCATTATAACCGGGTCGAGCCCGAGCCGAATTTTTAGGCTCGCGAGCCGGCTCGGCCCGGCTCGTTTACATCCTTGGTTTGGTTCTAGTTGAAAAGTTCAGTCTATTTCGCTGCTGTCGAATTTATTTTTCCATGTAAAGAAATTTTTGGAGTTTCGTTCGTTGCACAGAATTCTTGTTAACGTTGAAATTCTTAGAATTTTGGTGAGACTCGAATTCGTTGATGACGATAAATGAGAGCTAATTTAAGCGCACATTAAAAAGATTTCTATTTGTAATGCTTTTGAAATCCTATTCGAATTCTATTAGCAAATTCTAGTTGGAGTTTTATTTGAGAGCCCAATTGGGAGTTGGAATTTGTATTAGACTCAAAAAGATCCAGATAAAGAAACTTTTGAACATTCTATTAATCCACAACTCTACTTCTAGGGCTTGGATTGTCCCTATATATTTAACTCTTCTTCCAGTTTATGTATTGCTAAAATTGTATTTTCTCCCCATTGGTTGTCAATTAATGAAATTGCTCAATTTCTCTGACAATCTCTTATTGCTTTAATCTTGTTCTTTCTTGTGTAATCAATAATTTATATTGTGCCATACTTGCCTCTCCGTTCCCAACACAATAGAAAGTGAATTGAACTAAAAAACAGTTTTATTAAAAATTAATAACTTATTTATTTTAAACTTAGTCATTCAATATGTATTTTAATTTTAGAAATCATTTATTTAGAGGTACCTTCATTTCCTTGATACTTGTCACTAAGTAGTTTTTACTCCATAACCCTCAACACATGCTGAAACCCTAATCCCCTGATTCAATAACATTTAAAAGTTAATAAATATCATAAGTTATATGAACAAATTAATTATATCTGTACTGTTAAATGTATCTCTTTAGAGCAACTCACTTGCTTCAACTAGTTTCGTAAAAGCGACGACGAACTCAAAGTGCAATTTAGTATTGTTTGAGAGAAATTTTAAACTTTAAGTCATCTCTTTTATCGTAGCATAACATTCAAAATTGAACATAGCCAATATTGGTGCTAGGTTCCTTTGGCTTTTGTGTCCCATTTTCAAAGAAATAAGCAGTGCGACCGTGCAATGAGGAGCTGCGGTCCTCCCCAAGTATCTCTTCCATTTTCGATGCCAGAAAAAATAGGTGAGGATAGAGGTAAAAAAAAATGTTCTCGTTAGTCAAATCAGAGATTGATAGAATATATGCAACTTTACAAGTGCTATTGCAATATCTTATCAATCAATTAATATAGAAAAAATAAGGATAGTAGCATAATTGGGTAGGTTAAACGATTGTTTCTCAACATTTACTTCTTGTTACACCAGGGCCCAACCATTTTTCCCCAATAAAGTGTACATCAAATCTAGTCCTGAAATTTGCATAAAAGCGCAACAGTTAATAACGCAACTCGAATTTATGCCAATTCAGTTCCTATGTCTTTTAAATTGGTAAAAATAACATTATATCCTTATTTGGTACATATTCTTCAAAACTCATTTTAACCATATTTTCTATATATATATATATATATATATATATATATATATATATTTTATCAAAATTATGTGAATTGTAAATCAACAAACTAATCATCATCGACTTGCTTTTCAATCTAAGCGATTTCGTAACCAGAAAGAAAGACTTCCCTTTTGGGATCATTCCCTTTTCTCTCCGAGTATTCCAGGTTATCTTTTTGGTAGGAAAAGCAGTCACAGGAAGAAATGCCCTACCAATGAATAGCATGTAGAAATTATATGACCGCATTATTTTAGTACTAGTTTTGATCATTAAAATGCATAAACATCGAAACTGAAGAAATATTATGTGTATGTTTGGGTTTGATTTTTCACCTAAAAAAATCAATTTTTTGACCGTTACTTTCCTTAAGTCAGCCATCATTTTTTACTTCTTTTCTCACAGGTCGGACCCACTTTTCTCTCTAACGATCAAAAAATCAATTCTCATAATCACTGCCGAACAAGCACTAAATGAATATAAACGTACAGTCTACGTCATTTTCCATTGAAAAGACTTGCAAAGTTTACTTAGAACATGTTTTGGTACATATTCTTTCAAAAAAAAAAAATTCAAATTTATTTTCAATCCTATATATTTTTTTAATTAAAGAATTTTACATATAAACTTATGGTTTTACATACTTTTTAACAATACAATCTATTAAATGTTTAGTTCAAAATTGAGGTATTCTGGCCTGTTTATTGCATAGCTTAAAATGTTGATAAAAATTCAAAGTTAAAATTATCAATTAATTTTAACAACACATTTTATAATACCACAATTTTATCAACTCGTTAATCACATATTTTATCAACTTTTATCAAATTTTACTAAAAATCTGATTGTAAGCTACATCAAACAGGGGGTGCATCCATATCTATGCATTTATGCCATGTAGGTTGTCGTGTCATTTTCTTTTAACAAATCGTTTAATAAGTTGTTTAGATGTAATCGAAACAAGTTCCTAAAGAATAGTGTTCGTGACCAATTTCTTAAAACACACATATATTTTGTAAACAAACTGGCAAAACCAGTAATATCACTCCTAATTATGTCACTTCCACTTGAACTATGACAGTGAGTTTGGATTGCCTAAAAGAAGGCTTAAGAATAAACTAGAACTCTTTACATTTTGATCTCTTTTTAATGTGTCATATAAATGCCGAAGCTAAACTTAACCATTGTGCAGAAACCGACTAGAACTCTTCACAATTTGATCCATCTATAATTTATCATAATATACTAAAACTAAACCTAACCGTT